GGTGGCAAAGAGCAAGAGCGCAAGGGAGGGGTAGCAGCAGCTCAAGCAGCTAGCTTCTCTTCCCACCTTACATTGTAATGCAAATTACCTGCCCCAGGGCAGGCAGCATCCACACCCACAGTGATCAATCACAAACTCCAGAAGCTGCCCCAAGACTGCATGAGGCTTTGGGGGGACACTTATATACAAACCATAACAATTACTAAATCCGAATTGGATACAGCTGCCTGCCGAGGGCAAACTTTAGTTAAGGGAAGTAAGCAAAACTTTCTCAACAGTCACAGATGGCGAAAGGGAACCTGCCAAGACTTTCTCGAGGCTCCTAAGAGACGAGTTAATGAGCTGCAACGCGCTTACTACCAAGACCCATACGCAGCGCTGGCAACTCTGGGACCCGCCCTTAGGACAGGCTGTTCACGTCCTCATTTGGGAGCATCCCAGGCTACAGTTCCCAGCACAGGACCGGCAGGTAGTTGCAGTCCTCAGCTTTGAGGAGATTCAAAAGCCTCGCCCCGGGACGCCACCCACGGGCCACCTACCGGACTTGGGACGCATCCTTCCAGGGCGCCGGCCGCTGCTCGCAAGCCCGCTGCAGGGCTGCACTCTCCGCGTCCAGGACGGGCGCCTCGGCCCGCTCAGCCTCCATCTCCAGTCCAGCCCGGCCCGGGACCCTCCGCCACCTCCTCCACCGGATTCCTCCAGCTGCGCTTCAAGCCTCGCGCGCCCGCCCGGCGCGAACCATCGCGAAGCCATGTGGGGGAGGCGACGGAACTACGCATAAACCTAGCGAGCCACAGTAGTCACCGCGACACTCAGATAAGATTCCGAAGCCCTAACGTCGCTCCTCAGGTTGCCAAGTATGTCTCCGAACAATTCCTACCTTTCCGAGAGTTTGTTTGTTCCGATGTGAATCCCAGACCATCGGCCGCTCACCCCTACAAGTGGCGTTGGAGCTACCCGGATCCGGTCAAGAAAAGCGCTCTTTATTTTGCTTCCGCTCACTAACGCTGACCCTTCCAGGGAAGGAGCCAAGGGACGTGCTGGTGCGCGTCTTTCGATAGACGTTAGGGAATTTTGGCTTGGGATCTTTTGTAGAGGTTGAAGGGAAGTTGGCGTAGGCTGGACTACGAGAAACGAAATAAATCTTTGAATACTGTGTATGAAAACGGAACCTTGGGAGGCTGGGTAGTAAATGGAGTAGAAAGGAAAAGAGAAGGCACGCGCTAGGGCACGTGACCAGAAGACCCGGGTCCACGCGGCGCATCTCTGAGAGACGGCGTGGTGAGCATTGGGGTCAGAGACAGGAAGTGGTGAAGCTGTTTGTCCTGGCTTCTTTCCCTTCTTGGGTCTTTTCGAAGGAAAAAGATAGGGGTGGGTAGGTTGGAGTCGGAAGCTATCGGGAAAAGGTACGCATTAACTCATCCACGCCGCAGGGCATGCATTGGGCTCTTGAAGCTGTTTTGTGGTCTCAAAGGGTAAGAACAAGCTAGGCGCTGAAGGAGAGGAGAGATCTAAAGGGTGTCAGACCTCAGTACCGCTGGAAAACTTCTTGAGTTCCTTCTAATCCGTCAGAATTGTCACTATAGTAGTAACTCCCGGATCTGAAATTAGATCCGTATTAGCTACAGTAGTTGTCATATCAGTTGCTCTTTTTGTACTTGAACAGCACTTTACAGTTTTATTGTCCTGTGGTAATGTAATTGCTGCATATTTTGCTACTCTTAAGACCGTGGAGGTCCTAGAGAGGTGTTTTTCTTCTTTAGCGTTAAGAGAAAAAAAAAAAAAAATGTGTGAACAAATAAAAGATAGCTAAGCATGGTGGCACAGGCATGTAATCCCAGCTACTTGGAAGGTTGAGACACTTGCCGCAGTCCAGCTCAAAATAAGGGCTGTATAGCTCAGTGTTGGAGTTCTTGGTTAGTGTGCATGAGGCCCTTGGGTTCAGGCCTCACTGAAAATTAAGCACCCAATAATGTGAATAAATAAAACAGGTACTGTATAATGACTTGGAGGGGAAACATCTGTCTATATGTGTGCTTCCATAGTACATATGGAAAGAATGTAAATGTGGGCTTAAGTAGTCTCCAGGCATAGTATTGGTAGCTGTACAATAGGAACTAAAAGTTAACACCAGCAGACCAATGCAGCATAGAAGGTTCAGGGTGTTGCTTGTGAGAAGAACCATAAGAAAGAATTCTTCTATGTGCTGAAAATTATCTTCCTACTAGAACACACCGAGCATATGACCAGCTTTCATGACAGCCAGCAGAGAAACAAAGCGCCTTTTCGTGGGTGGCCTTAGCCAAGCCGTTTCTAAGACCGATCTACAAAATCAGTTCAGCAGATTTGGGGAGGTTTCTGATGTGGAGATCATCACACGAAAAGATGACCAAGGTAAGTTTATAATTTGTCATTGGGTGGATAAAGGAAAACTCAGGCCAAATATTACAAAATAAAACAATCCCAAAGGTAAATGTTAATTAACTCTGAATGATGGAATCCAGGAGTGCAATGTATTAAACAGAAATTGATCAAAATTAATATCTGAAATTGGAGAACATCTAAAGAATCTGATTTTAGAAACAGAGCTTCCATAACTGATTAACTGACATTTTCTTACTCGTTTTTCTTTGATAGTCATGCTTAGAAAAATATAATCTTAGCTTAGCATGGTTGTATATACCTATATCGCCAAATAGGCATGTAGTCAAACAGGAGTGGTGGGAGGTGGTCTCTACAACTGTTGATCAGTACAGGCAGTTCATTCTGCATGTTATTGAGGACTCTTGTGGATTTGATAGCACTCTGGGAGGCTGAACCAGGACTATCTCAAGTTCAAGCCCAGTCTGGATATGTTAGCTATTTAGTTAAACCGTGTCTCAGAATAGAGGAAATGTTGAGGACATAGCTCAGTGTAAAAATCTTAGATTATATCCCCAAAGATAACGTACCTCCCCAAAAAGAGAAAAATATAATCTTTGTATCTTATGAAACATAAATTAGGTTTGTTTTTTTCAAAGAATGTTTCTAAGAACATCTTTTAAACTTAGAAAGTTAATTATTTTACATTAAGACTTTATTTATTTTTTTTCTTTTTTAGGAAATACACAGAAAGTCTTTGCATATGTTAACATCAGAATAGCAGAAGTAGACCTGAAAAAATGTAAGACCATGACATAATTTCTGTGGTATTTGTGCTTTGATGTCACTGTGTAACTTGGAATAATTTTGTCTCTGAATCTAAATCACAGTAACTTCTTCTAAATTATGGCCATAGTTGCTGGGCATGATGGCACATACCTGTAATCCCAGTACTTAGGATACTGAGGCAGGAGGATCTTTGTGTGTTTGAGACCACCTTGGGCTACAAAGTGAGCTCAAGGCCAGCCTGAACTGCATCGGGAGACCTGGTCTTAAAAAGACAAAATTAATTAATGAATTATGATTATGACCATAGTTAAGAAATTGTTGTATCCTATGTCTTGCCAGGGTTTGGTCAGTTCCATTTGTGTCTGCAAACTGTAGTAGCATATGGCAAGTAGGGTTATTTAAAATCTGGTTTTCTCAAATAATTTGGACAGGGGTCAAAGTTTCATGGAAATGCCGTTATCTTACTGAATGTGTGGACACACAGCTCTTCAATGTATTCTGTTCTTAGGCATTGTTGATAAATACTATTGAGACTATAGAGTATTCCCTCACAAGCTCATCTTTAAAACTGTGATACCTCTTATTATTAACTAAAAGTGAATGGTGGCCTTCAGTGAAGAAGGAAGGGGACAGAATTTATAGTGGTGCTGAAAACTGAGTTGCGAACTCAGCAAGACCCTGTCTCAAAATAAAAAAAAATTTTTAAAGAACTGAGGATATAGCTCAGTGGTTTGATCTAATACTGGAAGAAAAACAAAATCAGGAGAGGGCTAGACCTGTAGATCCTAGATATGTGAGGCCATAGAATCCATAGCACAGCAACAACAACAAAAAAAAAGTCAAGAGAACTTAAAAATTTGTAATAGTAGGTTCATGCTTGGAGTGCCTGTTATTCTGGTCTTCTGAATACGTGCTGCTTGTCATGACACGCCAGTTGCTACTGTGCTGTCTCTCAGGTAGATGATTGTTTAAAAAGGAAGGCAGTGGTAAATGAAGGCAGGAGACAGGAAAAGGAATGTTGCGGGACTGTCCTGCTACAATGCTGTATATGGTTAGATTTCTGGACTTATGTGTAAACATATATAATTCTTCCTATTTTTTTTAATATATTTCAATTAAAAAAATTTTTGTCATATTCTGTAGGGACTTAAAGTTTAACATATCAATGCTTGATGAAAAATAACCTGTTCCATGTTATGTCTAAGATGTTTGATATTCAGACAGATAGTGAGGTTAAGCTTA